CAGAATGTACAGCATTGCCTTGGGAACCTTTGCTTTCCTTGTTTTTGTTTTTTTTTTTAAATTTCTTTAATTTCTGAAATTTTATGATAGAAACTCTGTAAAGTTAAGGTAACATTAACCTAGCCTTTGGGTATATATAATACAAAATGCTTGATCTTCTGGGACAGCAGCTATTTCTATGGATACAGTATGTTGAGCAGACATGGAACAAAGAAAACCAAAACAGTTGCTTCTCTGCTGTCAAGGAAACAAGCTGCTCTTTCTGCTTAAATATCTCTTACCAAAACTAGGAGGGAAAAATCCTCTAAAACTCAAGTTTACACTTAAAAAGCATGAATCTGTCTTACAGGCTCAGGAATAAATGTATTTTCAGATATTTTAGTAAGGTATATTATTATGTTTGCTGTAGGTAAATCAATATATCTCTCTGAAAGCCCCTAAGGTTAAGGTTATTCTTAAAGGTAAATAGCAAACCATTTTTTGAGAACAGTAGGAGTCCAGAAGGAAAGTGAGAAAACATTCTGCAGTGTTCTGGTTTTTGTGTTACATGCAGACTACATAGATTAAATTCTGTTATTTGCACTCCTGTAATTCAAATTCCTTTTTTATTTTTTTCTTCTATTCAATCCATTAGGAGCTTTGGTTAACTAGGAGCTTTGTGGTTTAAAAGAATGAAAAATAACCTCATATAAACTCAAAAATTTTAACTTCTTACTTCTTTCAGAAGTATTAAGAGGTGTACTGAATAGAATTGCTTCAGCTGATACACAGGCTAAATGAAGATGCACATAAATGTTCTATACGGCACTTCCAATATACAAATGACATGGGAGACTGCAGATACTCAGAAACATGGTTAAGGTTACATGAAAGAAAGGGGTTACAGGAAAAAATGAAATTACTCAAGGCATTTTTAAAATCTTGGAGTTACCTCCTGGTGAGTGACATTCTGGTTCTGGTTGGAATAAGCTTCATCTTGAGCTCCTGCACTTCAGTGAAGGACATTGCAAGACTCTCAGAAAAGCATAACACCAGAAAATAGGTCTTTTCTAAGACAGAAAAATATCTAACACATACCAGTGAAGCTCACAGTTTTTCTGGACATACAAGTAGACCCAAAATGCCCAGCTAGCTTTGAAATGCAATTATAAACACAAATCTTTGTCTATTCACGGCATCATTTCTAATTTGAACCAGGGAGCACAAATGAGGTTGAAGGCAAATGGTGTATTTAGTTAAAGTTGTCTTTGTTTATGGGCTATTTAGATTTTCTCTAGCAGGTTTTGCAACACCACTGGTGTGCTTAGATATATGATACCTGGATACTGAGTGTCTGCCCAGCTACAGGTACCCTGCATGTACGTGCCCTTAGTAACTGGAAAGGTACACATATTCAGTACTTTTCCCACCTGGGACCAGTAATGTTCCTGAGGCCTAGAAGCTGCAAAAGAACCTGGATGTGCAAAACAATCCTGTGTCTGGAGATAATATCTGCCTTGGTAGTAACTTACAGTGAAATTCTGCATATATGGCCCATTGCATACAAATGGTTAAGGTTGATTTTGAAGAACACTGCCATTAAAAACCCTGCTCTTTATAAAAAGTGACCAGGAGTTAGCTCTTTGCCTAGCTATTCTTGCTTGCAGTATTAGCTTTGTTAGTCTTGTAGGCTGGAAATAGTTTTTAGAGTGTTTTTCTTGAGAAAAGGTTGTGAAACATTTTAAAAACACAGCCCTTAAGAAAAAAAACTGATAAATTTAAAAGGCATACTCTGAAATGTCATTAAAGATGCTGCACACAACACAACCCCACTAAAATAAAAATTACTACTAAAGACCTAGTACTCATCCATAATTAACTTTTCAGTGTCTTCTTCACAAGTGCATGAATTATAAAATTCTGTATCTTCTTATCTTTGAATTTCCTGGCTTTTCTTGCTTTGTTTAGACACTATTGTAGCAGAGAAGAGGAGTGGATTTGGGGGGAGGGAAAGGTTTGTACACTTCTGAATATTTGAGCTGTGTTTAATCATTCTCATGTGTGAAATCTTTTATTAAAAAAAATCAGTTTATCTGATGCTTACTGCTATTTAGTACAGCACAGCTTGGTAGCACTAGGTACGTCTTGTTGAAAGTATGTCCATAAATATGTCCCTTGCAGCACAGAACAGCTTGTTAACTTGGCAATCCTCAGCAATTTGCTTTGAAAAGTTTGCCTCAGTTTTGATAGTCCAAATGTAGGGCAAAAACTCACAGTAACTTTTTTAGCTAATTTTACCAATTGACACTTTCCTCGTAGTTTTAACTGCCTGTTTACTAGAACGAGAACTACGCTGCTTCTTTCTCATTATTCAATAATCCTTTTTTAAACATTTTATTTATTTTTAATGGACTGGGACTATTGATTTTCCGTTTGTCTAATGTACAATCTAAAAAACAAACCTGAGTCCATTATGTTGAAGAAATATTATTCTGTTATCTCAACCATACATAAACCTGATGCTAGTATTATATAGGGGATGGTATTACTATGAATTTGCAATGCTTTCAACTGAAAGAGAATTACAAAAGCAGAAAAATGCTCTGTATCCCTATGTCACAGACAGAATAAAAGGGGCACAGAGAGGACAAGTAAATTGTCTAGTGCCCAAAGGATAAAAAGAATCAGAAGCCTTGAGAAAAAAACAGATTTGTGCATGCCTAGTGCTGTAAAAAAATTTCTGCACTCCTTTTTTTGTTTCAGTAACACTTTCAGCTAGCTTTGTTGGATATCTTCTTTAATGGGAGAATGGAAGTAGGATACCTACACTACTTCTATACCAAATGCATTAGGTTGGCTTACGGGAGAAACCCTGAAGTGAAAACTCATGAGTCTGTGTTCTAATTTAACCACATGAGGACTGTGATTGGAGATACTTCAAAGTGGGTTACAATGGTTAACTAAGTGAAAGATAATATCCCTTTGCCATTACTGTCTAGTAGGTCTCATTACTCCTCTGGGCATGCTCCTTAGAATAAATTAAAAGGATCCACTGAGAACTATTTTGCCTTAGGTTTTTTTTTCTAATGATTGCCAAAAGCCATTTGCTAGAATAGTACAGAATGTTTACAGATGCCTTAGGAAGAAAACAGCAGAATGTGGAACTAATTGTGTTTATTCAAGATAATTATGAAACACAAATGACCATTACTTAAAACAAATCCCCTGACAGCTAGAGTTTGACTCACGGGGCCAGGATCAAACCCAGTAAAGAAAGGCCTTAATGTTAAGTTGTACTGTCCATATGGACACCACGTATCAACACTAACTATTCCAGTTATTGCTCAACCCTCTGTGCTCTTATATCCAACTAGTGTTCGGTACAGAATAGCCACAGCTGCTAACACTGAAGAGGAAAGGCACATGGGAATGATGAGTACCTCAGAAAGAATATCCTGCTGAGGTGAGAAGTTCTGAGAAATGCAACCACAGAACCTCTCTGGCCATTAAAGCAGAAGGTTATAGGAAAATGAATGAGCTTTGCTGCACCAGTGATAGGCATTTAATCTCTTCAGACAATGGGATGCAGAAAGCAAATCTAAATATATGGCTATTAATTCCATCATCAAGAACAATGCTATGCACACTGCATTTGTGTTCATCCTGAGATGGTTTGTCAAGCCATTCCTACATATCCATGCAAAGCAGGCATGGACACTTCATCCTTGAATAAGAAGACCAGAGGAATACAGTGCAAAGCAGTGTTGCAATTGCATAAAGGCGGATGGAGAAAAAAAGTAATGAAAAGTTTCATACTGAAAAAAATAAGAAAATTGCTAGATTAAAGGAATTAGGTATAATCTGATTTATTGTTTTTTTTCTTTTCTTTTTTTTAAATGATTTTTAATTGATCTAGGAGTTTGCTATAATAATATTCAAATGGATCAATATTGGAATTACAGTTTCATTTCACTTCATTATTGCTGTTGCTGTAGTTGAATTGTTTTTGCTTTGGACAAGAAAAAAAAAGCAGTTATTTAGACTACCAAAAATGTATTAACATGTGGTTCTCATACAGAGAGGTCATTTATATACTTAACAGTGTGAAAACACAATGTAGGCTGTACTGCTTTTGTTGATTTCATTTTGTGACGATGTATACAAAATCCAAAGCTCAGTAAAGTCCGAGAGAAAAAACAGCAATTTTTTTATTGACTTTGGATCTTGCTTGCCCATATGGATGAGGGCACATCTTGGTGAAAACCTGGACTTTATATCACTGTGAGTTTTGGTTCAATAGTCACTTAACATGCCATGTATGTAGCTTATGTTCAATGTTATAAATCAGCATTCAGTGTTGATTTCAAAATTCCATGAAAAAGGATGACTGTTAGAACTCCTGCACTAACACAGAATTACTGAAGAGGGTTGAAAATCACCAACAAATACATTGTAACTGAAAAATGCCAGACTCTCAATGGGACCAGAAATGGCACACAGGTTGGATCTTAGCAGTCTGGATCCCTGTTAACTAAATTCCCAATTTTCAATCTTGGTGATTGTTTTTCCTAGGAAAGAAAACCTCCACTAATTCAGTGTTTAATATGGCCAGAAGAAATTGGACCGAGATCTCAAACTAATTGTCAAAAATTTTACAAATCACACCTCCTGTTGTTGTTCAGTTTCAGAAAACTTCTACTGTAACATTTCTGCTTTGATTTTTATTTCTCATATAATGGGCAATATAGCTATAAAAAGGGAAAATTATTTTAAAAGAACTAAGAAACCTCAGAATGAGCAAAAAGCTTCAGCAGGGTTTGAAAAATTTTCCATTTAATAGCTTTAAACTATGTTTTACTTGGATTCAAACCTACTTTTTTCATTGACTTCAGTACAGTCAGCTCAGACTGGGGGATCAGTCCCTCGTAGTGACAGGACTTTTCTGTTCCTGTTACAAGGACCAGCCTGTGATGAGTTCACCAGTTTCCCAAACCACGTTTTTAGCCAGAAGGAAGCCTTACCTCACTGCTATGGGGACACTTCTTCTACTGCTGCTGTTAATGGCACGGGTTGAAAGTATATGCAAGAGAAAGAAGGGGTGAAGGAGAAGGCAAATAACATCCTAGGGTGAGCAGTTAATATTCATGAGAGCTCCCTGAATCTCTTGTCCAGTGCATCTGGGCAAGGAAAAAAGTGGGAATTAATCTTATGGGAACTGAAAAATAATAACAACAACAACAGCTTGTCAAGGTCTCCCAAGCAGTACATGGGATCTCTTAGCAAAGCAAAACCGCAGCCTGGTGAGCTTGATCCCCAAACTCACATTTGAGTGGATTAGATTCTCAGAGGTGGCTGCAAACAGCTTCTAGTGATGCCAGTCAACTTGGCAGAAGTGGAGAGAAAAGGACCTTTTCCAGTCTTCCCTTTCATGGGATGGGGGTGATCATACCCCATTAAGGGTTAATGAACTGCCTGCCCAACTTCCAGGCCCCATAACCACCCTGCTGTCCTCTCAGCCACCAGCTAATCCTTCCAACAAGCCACTGAGGTGAGAGTTCATTGACAGAGGTGGGTGAGGTTAAAGATAATAAGAGTCTAAACATCCATAGGGAGTTCAGCTCGAGTACAAAGTCATAATTACATAAGCCATTATCACTGTACGGCTGAAAAGAAATTGCTGCAAGCAGGGGTAGAAAACATTTGCAAAGACAGGTTTAAGAATCAAGGATGGAAAATATCAGACTTTGTCTAGTGGATACACCAGGGCTTTAGCGAGGCTATAAAATGAGGATCGTTTGGTTATTCAAGTAGAAACCTGTTAAATGGATAACCTTGTTGCAACAAATTTTAATTTTTTTAGCAGGTCTGTTCTTTCAACAGGTACTGAGTCGAGCAGCCTCTGCTATTTTTATCAAATGTATTTTAGAGGCACAGGAAATGCCACTGAGGATTTAAACCCCCAGTAAGCTACACACAGGCAGTATTTGTAATACACTGCTTGCTGCTTTTACAAGCTGGACAAACCTCATACATTATGGGCCAAATTACGCCCTTGGATGAGTATGCTTGATTCCCACTGCTGTCAATGTGGCTGTCATAGAAATCTGTGGGAGACCAGCTTGTGCATCCAAAGAAGAACCTGGCCTAAAATCTCTTGTGCTCATGTTCCTTGTTAGATATTTCTCGTGTCTACTTGACTTACTCTCTTTTTTATTGAGGCAAAATAACCACGTTTAAAGATATTCTTCAAAAAATAAAATATAAAAGACCTCTAGTGCTATAATGTTTTTATTTGTGATGGTAAGCAATGGATGTTCTTCATACAAGGTTTCCTTGAAAAGTCATTATATTAGTGGGTTTACAGAAATCTAGTGTTTCTGCATTTTTTTGGAGTTTTGGACAGGCCTGGATGATCTCTCCTACAAAGTGAGCAAACATGGTCATTTCACCACAAGTTTTACTCTGCCAATCATCAGCTGCCTGTAAGTTGCTGCCCTCCCCAAAGAAAATGACTGAAAGGAGGTATTCAAGAAACATTCTGCTGCCTCTGTGACACAGGATCAACCCCCCCCTCCACTCAGGTGGCTTATCTAGGAGTGAAGGATTGTCTGGATGAAATAATTTGTAAATATAAAATACCAGGAAAAGCCAGTTCGGGATGTAGCCCCCATGAAAATCAGACTGAACATACCTTGTGCATTCCCAGTGGGTACTACTGTGGGGACTATGGACCTGGGTGATAACATGAAGGATAGTGCTAAGGGCCAGGTCCTCTGGAATATTCCCACTGAGCCCCTCGAATGTCACCTGGTGCCCTGGCCACCTCTCTGAGCTTCATATCAGGTTCAAGATTCACTTCTCTCTGCACGGTTGAATTTATTCCTAGGCAGCTAGATGGAGTGGTAAATTTATACATGCATTCAGCATTGTCATAGTCATATCTTGCCTGAGGGCATATTGATCCTTGTTACCATATTGACTTGATGCTTCTACATCTGCCAGCAATAGGTCTACACATTTTTTTTTATATGAAGATTGCACATTTTCCTTCCCCTGCCCCAAATCTCCTTCCACACAGTTTACTTTTATTAAGGTGAAACTGTTTTGGGTTTTTTTTAGTGCAGCTTTTAAAATGTGTCTGTGTTTGCTCAGGTAAAGGTTTTGCAATTGTAGTTTAGCCCCAGCTGGCAACTAAACCCCACACAGCCACTCACTTACCCCACCCCAGTGGGATGGGGGAGAGAATCAGAAGACTTAAAGTGAGAAAACTTGTGGGTTGAGTTTAAGACAGTTTAATAGGTAAAGCAAAAGCTGCATGCACACAAGCAAAGCAAAACAAGGAATTCATTCACTGCTTCCCAAGGGCAGGCAGGTGTTCAGTCATCCCCGGGAAGCAGGGCTTCATCAGACGTAACGGTGACTCGGGAGGACGAACACCATCACTCCTAATGTCACCCACTTTCTTCTTCCCCCAGGTCTATACGCTGAGCATGATGCCAGATGGGATGGAATATCCCTGTGGTCAGTTAGGATCAGCCGTCCCGGCTGTGTCCCCTCACAGCTCCTTGTGCACCCCCCACCCTGCTCACTGGTGGGTGGGGTGAGCAGCAGAAAAGGCTTTGAATGTGTGTAAGCACTGATCAATAACACTGAAAACAACCCTGAATTATCAACACCGTTTCCAGCACAAATACAAAACATAACCCCATACCAGCTACTATGAAGAAAATTAACTGTATCCCATCAAAAACGAGCACAGTAATGATGACTTTAGTGAACAGAAAGAGTTAATCAAACAGTTGGAAATTACTTAGCAACAGAATTTCCTTTCTAAATTATAAATACACAGAAACCATGTGTTGTATTTGCTTTGCAGAGCAAAAGAAGCAAAGCAAAGGGGAAGTTACCTGTTTATTTGTAATTAACTGAAGACTAGGGGAGCCCCAGCAACTTGGTCCTTGCGACTGATATGCTTGCAACTGCAAGATTTGCCACCACGGGCAATTTCTTCTTCTCACTCATGTTCTCCACACAATTTCAACTATAAAGGTCACTAACCAAAAGCAGCGGCTAAAGTGGGTCCAAAATAGTTTTTGCTTAACTTTTAGCATTTGCTTAACTGATTACTAGTTACAAATCTGACACACAGCAGACATAACAGTGCTCTCAAAGAGATTAAAGGATTAGTCACTCACTAGCTTAATCAGATTAATCAGAGATTTTGAACACAATCTATAATTCTATCCGCAGAGGGGATACATGATAGCCACATGGTAGCCTAATTTGGAAGGGATACTAGGGATGGACAGACCTAGACAAAAGAAGGTAGAAAAAATTGCTAGTTATCACAGGGATTTTTCTATGTACTGCACTTGTAATACCACGTAGAGGCCTTATATTTTCTAGTGGAATTACAAATTCACAAAATCTAACACCAGGATCACCTAGTAGCCTACACAATCCTGTAAAACAACTAATACAATGCCCTGATATAAGTTTATGACTGGTATACAGTAAGCTTATGCATGTGTTTTTCCTTATTTAATTTCACTGAAGCCTTGTTTTCAATTTGTGAGGAAAAGGTCATTTTTTTTTGTCTTTTGATGCCACAGCATCCAGGGTCTGAAACACAAAGTATGGGGAATGACTCTGTAAAATCTTAAAAGCTTTGTGCCAAAATTGGAAATTTGATACAGTAAGTTAATTGAAAGTAGGAGGAAAAAAAGGATTTGCTGTCATCTGTGAGAGATGCCAAAGCTAGCATTTAAACATGGCTTTACCTGTGGAGATATCTACTATTTTTTAAGAAAACGTGCATTTCTTTTCCCCATTATTTGAATAAAGGGAAAAGTGGAGTGGAATCTCAGCATATTGAAGCTGAAGTTTTCCTGTAGTAGAAGTTACTTAACAACTGTAGTATTTCTACCAGTGATTAATACAGAGAAATCATAGACAACATTGATATGAGCCCTGTTTTTACACGAAAAGAGAAAAAGCGAAGAAAAATCAATGTAACTGATGATATCTTCATCTATCACCCTCATCTTTCTTAATCCATTACTTTTCATTTTCCTGATTTTTATCCCCGTATCTGGGATAGTGACCTTAACAAGTTCCCTTAGCATTTTGGAAGGTGTCAGTCTCGTGTCTGAATCTTATCTGCCTGACATTCAGTCTTCAGAAAAGAAGCACTTTTAAGAAAGAAACAAACAAATTAATCTCCGTGTGCTTCAGGAAAGACACTGTAGTTGGAAGTAGGCCAGGTTTTCACTCTGAAGGATGCTCTGTGCTTGGCAAAGCCCAGAAATGTGTATCTGCAATGGTTCTTCTGCTAGGATTTTGAAATTTAATAATTACAGTTCTTTAAAGGAGGAACTGCAACTTAGTGTAAACACAGCAGCTAACAAGGAAAAACTGTGTTACCAGGAATTAAGCGTTTGTTATGCAGAAACTGCAAAAACAAAACGGAACTCTCAGAGATAGAAACACTCAAACTGTGCAATCTGCCAACCCCTACCTGAGGTCATGTGTGTGGTACATGTATTAAACGAGTTGAGGTGAGTGTCTTTGCTATGTGCAGGCTGCCAAACCTCCCCTCTCCCTCAGCAAAGAGTGACTGTAGGATCGTTCTTTGCTGAGAGGACTCAACAAATCTATTTACAGTGGCCCACTGATACACAGCATTTGCCATCGCCTCTCTGGTGGCTGCCCTACTGCCTCACCCAACAGGCCCCAGCCCCAGCACAGCTCCCTGCAGCCCATTCCTTTCCCCAGCTCCGACAGTCAGATTTCAGCCACGCAACCCGTGGCAACCAGAATCCCATCACTGCTCTCTGACAGGAGAAACACAGACACAAACACAAAGCTGCCTTTGGAAAAACAGCACTGAGGCTTTGCTTTAAAGAGAGAGAACGCGTTGAATTAAAAATGTGCCAAGAACAACCAGGATGGCATTGCTTTATTTTCACAAAGAAGTCTCTCCTAATTGCACATTAACTGTCTTTTCGCGAACAAACTTGTTTCCACCTAACGCTGACAGTCGCAGGAGCCCGAGTGTGTGTGTGTGCCGGGGGAAGGGGCGGGGGGAGCTGCTTTGTGGCAGTGTCTGTACGTCTCGTGCCTGCGCTGATGGAATTATTGTTTATTTTTTTAATTTTCAGAGGTAGGTTGATGACAG